TGCAAAAAACAATCACAAAGAAAATAAGCAGTTCTTCAAGAGCGATGCGAATTTATTATCAAAAATCCAATCCTTTAAATACAGGATTCAGCAGAAATATTCACAAAGTAAATCTCCGAAGGTCTCCACACCTTCAATAGCAATCAAACACAATCATCAGTGTTTAAAAATACACGTAAGTAAAAGATTATTCACAATCACAGCCGAGCTAATCTCTAGTCAAAACAAAGCTCACTACTCGCTGGTTTAATCAAGACTGAGTGGTTGCGGCTGGCACTCGTAATTATAGGCGTGGCAGAAACTTGCAGAAATATAACCACTCGTGTCATCGAGCGTGATGTTAATGGAGAGATCCACTACTTTCTAGAAGAATTCAGAGGGTTCCGAAGTTGCCAAATTCGCCGCTAACTTGGCCGCCAAAAGTGATGCCAACTTGGCTCTACCGCCAAGATTTCGCCAAGTTCCCATTGAATCGTCATTATAAAGTAAGGGGTGGCATTGCTTGTGATTAGTACAATTTTAACATGAAATAGATATAACATAGAATAATATAAATGCATTAAACACCTAAATACAAGTTATTTACTCTATTTACACAAAATTCCTAACAATACTAAAGAACATATGACCTATATGTTTCAATGGATAACAATAGAGAAAGGAGTAAAGCACGGAAAAACATTAGACCGAGAAAACGAAAAGTGAATTCTTGAATCTCAAAAACATTGGTACAATTTGTTCAAGAGATTAATAATATCATAAGTTTCTTAGCCTATCATAATCTGGCGTTTAAAGGTCACAGAGAATCTCTCAAAACAGACGAAGACACTAAGAATTCTGGAAATTTCATAGACTTATTTAAATTGATATTTAATTATGATCCTACGTTATGGGAACACATAAATCGCATTGATAATAAACAACTTGCACACCATTATCTAAGCCACGATATTCAAAATGAATTGATCACAATCATGTTAAACACAGTTACCATTGAAGTGATTAACAGAATAAAAGAGGCAAAATTTTTTTTTACTCAACTGCACTAGAGACTGTGTAGTAGAATTTAACAAATGTCGGTCATCTTAAGCTATTATAGTACATCAACTGGAAGTATCGAAGAAAATTTGATTGGATTTCTTGCTGTCACTGAAACGACTGGAGAATGTTTGACCAATACAATACTAGGAGAGCTAGAAAAAAAATGGCTCAGATACTCAGAACTGTTGTGGACAAGGATACAACAAAGGTGCAAATATGGTAGGCATAACTAGTATAGTCGAAACTCGAATATTAAATATAAATCCCAGGGCACTTTTTCACACCTTGCGGTTGTCATAGCTGGAATCTGTGATTGGTAGACGCAGCTAACTCGTTTGGTTTTATTCAGATTTTTTTTTTGTTGCTATTTTCAAGTTCCAGCAAACTCTGAAATATTATCAAAGATAAATTAAATCTTATTATTAAGCCTTTATCAGACTGAATGTGGGAAAGTAGAATAGAGGTGGCGAAGGCCGCATTATTACAATTTAAGGATGTAGTTGAATGCATAGAAAACTTTTAAAAAACTTAACGGAGCAATTCGACACACTCAGTGATTGCGATTTCGTTTTAAAGAAATGTTCAGTTTGGAATTTATCGTATAATTACATGTATATGGAATGAGTTATTAAAGCATGCCAATACCATAAGCAAGTTATGGCAATCCGCACAAGCCCAGTTATGCATTACTTTTGAACATTTTCGTACATCGTGTAGCTGGATCAAAGAGTATCGACAAACTGGATTCGGAAAATGCTTGTCTGACGCTCAAAAGTTTATAGAGAAAAGCAGTTATGATTACCAAAAGATTTTAAAAATAAAAGGTAGCCAAAAAAAACAAACAATGTTTGATTATGAAGGCGGTGATCAACCTATAGAGTCTGTCAAAAGCCAGTATGAAACAGACTTTTTTAATACCATGATTGATTCTATGATAAGAAATAAAGATTCAAGATTTATGTCTTTAAATCAACATTTTGAAAATTTGGGTTTTCTCTATGACTTAAACAAGTTAAAAAAATATCCCAAAAGAACAAATACTGAAAAATGGTCAAGATTTACTCACAGTCCTGCAAGTAGGGAAGAGCAGTGACTTCTAACCTTACACATTATATGAAGAATTACAAAATATGATCCCAAATTTACCCAACACCATTACAGAAGTAAGACGTCTATTGTCTCTTTCAAATTTTGTCAATAATACCTTTAAGTATCCTTCTGCTGAGAGGAGCTTTTCAAAATCAAAACTGATAAAAAAAAATTATCTATGAAATACAATGAGTCAGGAAAGACTTTCAGCTTTGGCAGTTTTATGAATTGAAGCAGATATAGAATCTAAGATAAATTACGAACCGATCATTAAGAATTTCAGCAAAACTAAAAGAAGAAAATTTTTTTCTTTAATTTTTTTTTAATGTGTAACATCTTTCCTCTCGGTTGCTGGTTTTTGTGGGAGTGATTTCGTGAAAAGGGACTGATGTGTGTAACAGGATGTGACGTAAGCGCACGCTACTTGATTTGACCAATGAGAATGCGTGACTGTGTCTTTTCGCTACCCTCGCATGGGGGGTCCAACTCTAGTAGCCATCAAGCGCTTGACTCTAAATCCGTTAGTCACGATATTGGGGGACATAAGTGCGGTAAGAATGCTTATTTGAAAATGGACAAACAGTGATTTCGGTGGTCGTATACATTTCTTCGAATCAAACGGTTAAAAAAAATTAAAGATTTCCTGCATTTTGTACTGT